GGTCGACAAGCTTCATGTCGACCAGTGCAGTTGTCGGCCAACCTCCCAAGTCGGCTACCCGAAGTCGGCGTCACGAAGTTGACGCCCAGCTACTCGACGCCCAACTGCTCGGCGTCCTGAGTCAAGGTCGACGTCGGCCCCTCCTTCGTCGACCACCAGGCCTGGTCGACGGTCGACCAACCACCAGGTCGACCAGCAGTCCGTCAGCCGACCACCGAAGTCGGCTTCCCCAAGTTGACATCACCAAGTCGACGTCCTCCGCAAGTCGACTTCCCAAGTTGACCTCCCTGAAGTCGGCGCCACCCTGAAGTCGGCGCCCGTACAGTGGTCTCCGTGCAGGTCGACCTCCTCGTCAACCAGCTCGCCCACTACTGCAGGTCGACTGCTCCCCTCACACCCGACCACGAAGTCGGCTCCGCCAAGCGAGGACGGGGCCAACACACAACTCCCGTTGACAAGCACACCCACATGGGCTATGTCAGGGGCATTACAAGAGCAAGAGAAGCAGCAATGCAGGGTGGCTCGCCCAGCCTCTGGGACAAATGGCCACAAGGCCAGTCCAAGATTTTGCACAAATATGTATATGCAGAGCCACGAATAGAGCAAAAAACAAATATTACGGGACTAGCAAGCAATGAGCTGGTGTAACTAAGCCAAGCTGTATGCACAAGGCTGAAGCGCCTCAAGATATCAACAATGTTTTCCTCCGAGAACAAATGTACCCATACACATATGGCCACGCTGATGCATCTCACGCGGAAGGAAATACCATGGCTGAATGTGCTTCACCCTGCCCTCTAGCCGTAAACTGATTTATTAGATAAGATCGATGCGAAACCTACGTTGAATTTTCAGACGTCTCAACAGTTGGTACAAAGGACAAAGGAGGAGGGGAGGAGTTGAAATAGGCCCCTAAACTGCTTGACCAGATGAGATTGTTGTTGACTTCCGTTGTAAGGCATGGGATGGTTTCGTTGTGGTGCGGTGAACGGACATTTTGTCAGGTTCGTTCACGGTGGCTCAACAATAATGAAAGCCCCAAATTTTAAAACCCGGCCCTTTAACGCCAAACCTGGAACTTCAAATACACTTGTGTATTCTGGTGATCATCGTTGTGAAAGCGGGGGATAGGGACAATGGGGCGGTGCTCGGTCTTCTACGGTCGTAGAAGGGGAAGGGACATGCCTGGATTGATTCTTTAACTCCTATTACACCTCCTTGTCTCCTTTTCTTGCCCATAATAAGGTGATGATATTCGCAAAGGTACGATTGGGGGCAATGGGGTGGTCTCCACTGCCCACGACTTGCCCATAATAAGATGATGATATTCGCAAAGGCGAGAGTGGGGGCAATGAGGCGTTTTGCACCGCCCACGACCATCGAATGCCTTAGAGAAGCCTGGATGGACTGTATTTCTTCCTCCCATCCTTTTATTGTCTTTCCCCGTCATGCAGGTGATGTTTTTCGTTAAGGTGAGCGATGGGGGGAATGGTGCGGTGCTGCAATCCCCACTGTTGTCGAAGTCTGGGGGATGCTTGGGTACAAGGGAGGCAGGTTGACCCCTGAGGGCGTGTTCCTACGCCTCATATCAAGCAAACCTCATATCAGACTTGACCGAAGGGTTCTGGGTTTAGGGTAGGGCTGATTCGAGGTTTGCCTGATATGAGGCGAAGGAACACGCCTGACTCTTCTATTTCCCCTGTACACCTTACCTTCCTGCCCTTAATAATGTGGTGATATTCATCAAGGCGGGGGGATGAGGGCAGTGGCGGTGCTGCACCCCCACAGCCATGGAAAGCCGGGGAGAAGCCTGGGCTGATCATAATCCTTTGTATCACTTTGTACCTGTCTGCATCTAGGTGGTTAATCTTGTCAAGTTGGATGTTGGAGGTAACGGGACCGTGCTGTACCCCCCACGGTCATAGAAGGCTGGGGAAACGCCTTGGCTGAAGGGAGGGAAGCTCAACATGAGAGAGGTGAAGGAAATGAGAACAAAGCTCCGCAGGTGACAGAGGGGAGAGTGAGAAGGCAGAGGGGGGTGGGGAGGATGGGCAAGAGGAGAGAAGCACATGGGGAAGAAGGGCGTGGGAGGAGTGAGGAGAGGAGGGTGAGCCTACTGCCGCTCCTGCAACTCCTTCCCATGCCCACGCCTATCCCTTCATTAAACCCCTAGCAAAAACAGGCAGATTAGGCAGATTTAAGTGAGAGGCAGACAAGATGTGGTGGATTGTGTTGTGCCCATGGGGGGGCATGGGGGGGGACGTGGTCATTCACGCCCACCCCTCCCTTTCCTTCCCCTTCTCTGTGCGCTCCTCAGCAGATATGGCTTCGTGCACATGGGGGGGCATCGGGGGGTGATACCGTCACCCCCCGGATATACCCCCATGGGGGGCAATAATAAAACAGGTTTTTTCAAGGGGGTGGGCTTATAATCGAGTAAATTTATAAGCGCCGGCGTTTATAAAATGACATTCATATTTTTTTATATTTTTTAACACCAAACTGTAGGTCTCGTGCTTGCCCTTTCAATCGAGTCGAATTTACATGGGGTCGTCTGTGAAATTCTCGCGCGAGCTGGGAGACACACCCAATCTGACTCACATCCAGCTCCTGACAGCTCCTGCTGACTGGACCCGCATCCAGTGCAGGGTCCGAATGTGAAGGGAACCGAATCTGCAACATATCTGCCTGCTAAAGTAAAAATCATTACAACGTTTTGTACACATTTCAAATTTTAAAGTTTACGTGCGCTTATAATAAAACTAGTTTTTTCAGGGGGTGCGCTTATAATCGAGGAGGGGATATAAGCGCCATATGCCAATTAGAAGCGCCAGGCGCTTATCCTAGGGTGGCGCTTATATCCGGGGGGTGACGGTACATGCAGGTCCCTCCCTATCAATGCAACAGCTGTTGCACCGTGCCCCTCTTTCCCTCCTCTCCACACAACCACAACCCCTCTCTCTCCTTACCCTCTGCTCTTCCCCGCATGCCAACCAGAGGAAGGAGGAGGAGAAAGCCAAGGAAATGAAACAGACAAGCACGTTCAACAGAGATGTGTATAGGCTGGCGACTATGCCAATGGGAGGGCATGGAGGGGATATTGTGATTCACGCCAATATCTCCCTTTCCGCGCTGCCGCTGCTGCACCACAAGAAGCGGCATGGGCAAGGAGCAGAGGACATGTGGACACAGATGGGGGCGTGGCGAGGAGAGTGCCCCGGATTGCAGGGGCCTATGTTGCAGTTAGCTGTACCTGTGTGTGAGTGACATGCAGGAGCAGGGCCAGTCAGTCAGTACAACTGATAATGCTCCTTAGGGTAACACCTGTATCAACAGATCCCTCTGTCGCACGTGGCGAGGAGCGGAGGGCGGATGGACGCCAAGGAGGGGTTGGCGAGGAGAGTGCCAGATTGATTGCAGGGATCAAAACTTAAGTTAGCCGTGCCTGTGGGTAAGTGGACTTTACTTCTCTGCTCTACTGCTGCTAAGGGGGGGCTGGCGAGACGAGTGCCGAACAGATTGCAAGGGCTTGTACTAAGGATAGCTCTTTCTCTCCCTCCTCTCTCCCTCCCCCTCCGACTCTCCCCTTCTCCTGCCCCTTTTTCTTTCCTTCCCTATCCACACTGCTTCCGCCTCCATCCACCCCCTTCCACCCCCTTAAACCCCCTACCACCCCCTTCCACAACCTTCCCACACCTCTACTTGCCACACACACCCACCAAGCACCATGGTGAAGTGCAAACGGGTTGGCCAGCCCCTTCACATCCCCCATTCCTACCGCTGCTGCCCCTCCTTCCCCCTTTCCATGTGCTATTACCCACCTCCAGGCACGTGGTGAAGCTCGAACGGGGTTGCAAGTTCCTGGCGGACTGATCATTACCACTCCCACAAATTTCCCACCACCCCTTCCCACCACCCCTTCCGACCTCCTTCCACCTCTCTCCACCCACCCACCCCACCAGGCACAGTGGTGAAGCGCAAGCGAGGAGGCAAGTTCCTGGCTGATCATATTTGTACTCCCTAAAGCCTAATCCTTTCTGGCCTGTAGGAACAACCGTATATAATAAAGAGTTTTACACAAGGGGCATAGCAACACTGAGCATGCTTCCTTGCCTCCACTTTCCCTCGCATCCTTGCATTCGACACCTTTCATTTCTTATCCTCCCGTCTTTTCCAATCTAGTTCTGCTCTTCCGCTCTTCCCTCACCTTTTTCCTCACTCACTTCCTAATTTCCTCAAAGTCGCTCTGCACTGCTTTCCCATTTACGCTTTAACTCCACTCCTGACTTTTCTCATTTCCTCAGTTTTGTTGCTTCACCACTTCCTCTCCTCTTTACCCCACTCCCCTCCCTTCTGAACTTACCCATTCCCACTCCCTCTCATCCTCACATCCTCTGTACTTCCTCTCCTAGCTCCCCTACTGCCCCCCCCCCCCCCCCCCCCCCATCCCACGTTGACAATGCTGAAGGTTGATGCATGCATATGTTTGCAAGTTAAACACTCGCTAATACCGTAAGCACCAGTATGTGCCATTAGCACTGGCTTCGTTCCATTTCCATTCTGGGAGACAGCATCAATGCCATGTGCTTTCTGCACCGTCGCTGAATCGACTCACTCCATGAAGTCCTTAACGCTCATGCTGTTGCCTCCACCAAGCACATCAAATACAGGGTGGCGCATCTGCTGCTGCTGCTGCTGCTGCTGCTCCTGCTGCTCATGGTGCGGCAATGAACCGGAACTGCTACTGTTTCCCTGACAGCGTCTTGCAAGCGCCAAAACAGTGTCTACCAGTGACGGCATAACCAGCAGCTGCGGCTTATCTGCCTGCCCCCGGTGTTCAGCCTCCCGCTCTTCTGTCGACGGTGCAGCATCTGCAGCAACACACGGCCCTGCTGGGAGCAACTGCTGCTCGGCTACGTTGCTGCAAGTGGAGGGGAGCGAGATGTGGAAATCCCAACTGTTCACACGCGAAAGGCCGGATGGAGGGGCGAGCGGGCCATATGGAGGGGTGTGCGCAGAGGTGTGCAGAGGGGTTTGCGGAGGGTTGTGTAGAGGGGTGTATGGATGGGCGTGCAGGGAGGTGTGTGAATGGGCGTGCAGGGAGGTGTGTGGATGGGCGTGCAGAGAGGTGTGTGGATGGGCGTGCAGGGAGGTGTGTGGATGGGCGTGCAGGGAGGTGTGTGGATGGGCGTGCAGAGAGGTGTGTGGATGGGCGTGCAGGGAGGTGTGCAGAGGGGTGTGGGGCAGGGCGCCTGCAGGTGCATGCAGAGGAGGACTTGCAGAGGTGTGTGACGGGGCATGTGAAGCAGCCTCCTCCTCGGCATCACTCAAGTCATGTGAAGCATCCTCCTCCTGGGCCTCGGCAAGAATCTTCGCGAGCCTTGGAGGAAGTGTCCTGGCTTTGCACAGCTTTCTGGCCGCTGCTGCTGCTGCTGCTGCTGTTTCTGCTGTTTCTGCTGTTGCTGCTGCTGCGGCCGCCTTCTCAACCCGCGCCGCTTGCCGCTTGTGGCGGCGTGGGGGAGGGCCGCGATCCTGGTGGTTGTGGTCATGATGGTACACTGTGAAGACTGTAATCCCCTGGCAGGTTGAGACTGAGTGATGGACTGTGTCTGGTCGGCAGACTGGGTCTGAGTGGCCGACTGGAGTGCTGGTAGCGGTGTCAGCTGGTAATGCGTTTCCAGCAGATGCTACTATGGCGTCCAGCGTTCCGCTGCAGTTGTCGAACCCATCGACTTTGGTGGATGGGAGGTGAGCACTACTAGTGGTGCTGCTTGTATTAGCGTGTGCCGGCCCGTAATTGACAGTTTTCCTGGCAGGGCAGGCGTTCGGCCTCTTGTACCAGGCACATCTGTAGTAGCACCTGCATGTGAGGATGAAGGAATAGAGAGACAAGCGAGCAAGGGAACGGAATGTGAGATGGAATATCACCTCAGGCGTGAGGGATCTTAGAACATGCACACCTTTGTTCTAGCACCTGCGTGAGGGGGTGAAGGGAAGAGAAACATGTGAGAGAGGAAGAAATTATGAAAACATTCAACTTCGAAGTTCGACCAAGTGCACCTGTTTTCCTAGCACAAGGGGATAAAGAAATCAGAAAAACGTCAGAGAGGGGAATGGAATGTGGGAATGAAGTGTATTTCATGCTTCAGGAAGTGGATTGTGGGAATGAAGAGTGGCGCCAGGGATCAAACGCACCTGGTCGACTCTAACCTACATTAGAAAGGGGTCAGGGATAAGAAAAACATTTTCGGAATGGAATGTGGGAACGACAAGAATAACTTAGGCCTCAAATATCTTGACGAACGCAACATTTTCTTACTAAGAACTAACATGAGGGGGATAAACAGATGTGGAAGGGGGATAAAATGTGGAAATGAGGAGTTGTATTCAGGCTTCAAGGATCTGGCGCACCTGTTGTTCTACAACCTAGGATATGAATGTGAGAATGAGAATGCGGCAGGCGCTAGGTTAGTGTGGCTCCCTTGCAGGTACTCGGGATTCTTTCTTATTCAGGATCACGTTGGAGACGCAGTAAACGTGGAAAGCCACTGTCGCCTCAGGCTGGGTATGTGTACAGGTACCAGGGATGCTACAGAGAAAATTGTCAACAGAGAGGAGATCAACTTGATCTTGGATCACTTCTCAAGAGTTCATTTGTTGGATGTCTTTTCAAAAAATAGCTGATGTTTCGGTAATTTAGTGCCTACCTTTTGAGAAGCAAATTTAAGAATAATAGCAGAGTTTGAAGTGAGAAGCTATTTCTTGGAGTCTTCCAAAAAAATCACTGGTTTTTAACTTTGAAAAAGCGAAAGCTTCCGCACCTGACGTGGTTCCCGATGTCTTTCATGCCGTACTTGAGCCATTTGTGGCCGTCTCCGTTCACGGCTGCCGCCGGCAGCCTGCTATCTGTACTGGCTACAGATGTGACGCGATGGTTGGAGGCCATGGCACTGACAGAGCTCATATCTGCTGCAGGAACGTCAGGTTCAGGCTGAACGCTTGAGTCCATTACTACTTTTAAGTTGCACATCGTGGAAAATGTTGGCGCTCAAAGAAAGTGTGAAAGAAGCAGGATCTGGTTATGGAATGGTTGGTGTCACACTAGTAGGAAGCAAGAGGTCTTGCAGGGATGTATGAGCAGAAGGAATGTATGAGACAACAGAATTCTGGTTCAAAGTGGGAAAATATCAATTTATTGTTGCTGTCAAATTGATTGATGTTGTTCAGGCGAAGCAGGAATGCGAGGAAAGCGAACTGTTACCCTACCGAATCAGCGGTTGGTTTTTGCAATATCACTATCTTCTCGTGACTGTGTGTTCGCCGTCGTGCACCCTGGTGTAGCCTCGTGCGCAAGTGTGGGCCCTCGTTCTGGATGTGTTGTCATGGCGTGAAGACGTTACAGTTGGTTGTGGCACTGACTGGGGCGGCACCTTGCGACGGATTCTATTTGCGAGCTGGCGCCAGCTTGTGAAAGCCTGCGAAGCCGTCCTTCACCCCGCGAAGTTCACTTGTCTCTCGTGGTCTGTTACCAGCCTAACAGAACCTCCTCTGTCTCTCGTGGTCCACAGCACAGGCACAAGGACCAACTTGTTACTTGAAAACCATGATTTTTTTGTTACTGTTCTGGTTGTAATGCCGAACTTGGATGTGGGTCCAGAACGTGTAGACGAAACAATAAGGGCTATTCTGAATTCAATTTTCCGGTCTGTCTAAGGTCTACTCTTACCTAGCGAGGGACTATATACCCAGTTACCATGGAAATTCAGATCCAGCATAGAGATCCGTGGGGGTATAGATCGGGTCGGTTTGTTTCAGACTCCACGTACGAGTGGAAATAGGATCGCAACGGAAAAATCGACTCGCGCGAATGGCCAGTGAAGGCGTTTTGCGACTTTGTGAGAGAGCATCATTCATACCATAAGCTTCTGGGCGTCTTGAATTAACCGGCAGTTTTCATGGATGCCCCCTGAGAAACATTCGAGGACCTGGAGTTTTCAGTGACCACAGTGGACGGAAGATCTTTGGCTCCAACCTAGCTTGTGACGCCAAGCATTGATGGTTCGGTCATTCCCATCTGCATGCAGATTTCGCTAGTGCGGTTTTGCATATGCATGCCATAGACGGTTCGGGGGAAGATGTCGGCCTATCGGCAAAATCACGCGGTTACCCGTGTTTAGGGTTGAGGCTTCCCCAGTTGCATGCCATCCCGATCGGGTTTTTGCTTTTTACCGCGGGCAGATAACGGTCTGTCAGCCTCTTTCCACTACGGCCGTCTTCTGTATGCATCTGCAAAATTGCACTGGCGTAATTTGAATGCCGTTGAATATTGCCCTAAGACTCCCCGACACCCCTAGGACTCTTTGTCCAATAGCGGAAATTGGAGCCACGTTGTCACCCAAGCAAAATAATGTCGTTTCACCCTTGTCGTTTGGCAGTACTGGTGTCCACATCGGGTCCGAGCAGGATGGCCCGAAATTGGATCATGCGATCGCCCGTAACGGAAGGGAGGTCTCTGGTCAATGATGCATATTATTTCCGCTAATAGTCGCCATTATGGTTCCAGAGTATCACAATTAATCATGAATATTGGTCTTGGAGTACGACAATGAGTCATGAATATGGTTTGTGACTTTCTTTCGGGACATGTAACTCCCCATTTCGTCAACGAGACGTTTGGTGCATAATAGCAACACACCATATAGTTTAGTGCATACACCAGAAGTGACACCGGAAGAAGCTCACTTGTGCAATATACAGCGCAGACAGACACCATTTAAGTAAAGGCATTAAATGGAGAGTGTACACGCCTCAAGAAAAGTAATGGTGCACTCCAAAGAATCGAGGATCACTGCTTCTTGCAGCACAGCACCTGCCGTGCCCCTGCTGCTGCCTCCAACAGAGGCACCGTTACTGTCACAATCGGGTGCTGCGGATACAACTGCACAAGAGCTTGATGCTTCTGATGCTTCCGCAGCTGCTGCTACTGCTGCTGCTTCGGCACAAGCAGTATCCAAACTTGTGGTTCCGCTCGGGAGTGGTCCTATGGAGTGGCATGGTGGCAGCACAGCCAGCAGCTCAGCCCTGGAAAAAATGCCGGTGCAGACGCCGATAGGCTTGGCACCGCCGAACCTGGCAGCTATGATGTCGTTTGGCTGGAAGAAGAAAGAGGAACAAGAGGAGTAGACGTAGGAGTGAAGAGGGGAAGGAGGGGAGCGTGGACAATGCGAGTCGACTCAAAAGTCTGGTGGTGCAGAAACGTTGAGGCGGGGATTACAACGATACCAGGGAATGGAGGAGGGGCAATAGCTGGACTGAATTCGCCGAGTTCTAAACACGAGCATGCGTTATGGATATTCCGCCATGTCCCGAACATGCCATGCTAATTAGCGCATGTTGCTTCATCCATAGCTAGCTCACCGTGTCGCCAACATGTGCATGCAAGCGAAAGGGTGGCCCTCCAATCCTCTCCTCTGCTCGCTGCCTTGCTATCCGAACCAGCTCGCCCCGATCCATGTGGTCGCTCCCGAACCTGAATAGGTAGAGGGATATACGCAAAGGTAGAACGGGCGAAGAGGCCAATGCAGCTCACCCCAACCCATGTGGTCATTGCCGAGCCTGGGCAGGGGGATATAGGTAGAGGTAGAAAGTGCGAAGACAGGTGAAGGCGGGAAGCCTCACCCTCTCATGCTCATCTGTTTCAGCATGGTTGCTGTGATGGAAAGCCGATGCAAAAGGGTTTGCATGCTATACCAGGCTACCGGGGCAGGCATCAGGCGCCTCACCCTCTCATGCTCATCCCCACCCTCTCATGCTCATCCCCACCCTCCCATGCTCATCCTCACCCTCCCATGCTCATCCTCACCCTCCCATGCTCATCCCCACCCTCCCATGCTCATCCCCACCTTCCAAAGCGTGAGGCCTCATTGCGCATGCTCACCCTCCTATGCGCGGGGCCTCATTGCGCATGCTCACCCTCCTATGCGCGGGGCCTCATTGCGCATGCTCACCCTCCTATGCGCGGGGCCTCATTGCGCATGCTCACCCTCCTATGCGCGGGGCCTCATTGCGCATGCTAGCCCTCCTATGCGCGGGGCCTCATTGCCCATGCTCACCCTCCTATGCGCGGGGCCTCATTGCGCATGCTCACCCTCCTATGCGCGGGGCCTCATTGCGCATGCTCACCCTCCTATGCGCGGGGCCTCATTGCGCATGCTCACCCTCCTATGCGCGGGGCCTCATTGCGCATGCTCACCCTCCTATGCGCGGGGCCTCATTGCGCATGCTCACCCTCCTATGCGCGGGGCCTCATTGCGCATGCTCACCCTCCTATGCGCGGGGCCTCATTGCGCATGCTAGCCCTCCTATGCGCGGGGCCTCATTGCCCATGCTCACCCTCCTATGCGCGGGGCCTCACTGCGCATGCTCACCCTCCTATGCGCGGGGCCTCATTGCGCATGCTCACCCTCCTATGCGCGGGGCCTCATTGCGCATGCTCACCCTCCTATGCGCGGGGCCTCATTGCGCATGCTCACCCTCCTATACGCGGGGCCTCATTGCGCATGCTCACCCTCCTATGCGCGGGGCCTCATTGCGCATGCTCACCCTCCTATGCGCGGGGCCTCATTGCGCATGCTCACCCTCCTATGCGCGGGGCCTCATTGCGCATGCTCACCCTCCTATGCGCGGGACCTCATTGCGCATGCTCACCCTCCTATGCGCGGGGCCTCATTGCGCATGCTCACCCTCCTATGC